AAAACTATTTTTTATCAACTAAATCATCAATTTTTTGAAAAAATATTATATTTATCGTAAACTAGCTTTTGCCCGCGTCTTCGTCCCGGTAGTGTTTAATAAAAATGTAATTCGTTTTTACTTTCTTAATCTAGACATAGTCTGTGTCAATTCTATCAATGAGATTCCCAATTTTATTTTAAAGAAATTAATTATATAAAAAAATTGCTAATAATGCACTTCAGCGCGCCATCGCGGATTCAACTATTTAACTATAACTATGATTGAATCTCAATGCCAACTTTTATCCTATAGAAAAGTACTGTCTTTAGGGTTTTCCCAGCAATTATTCAAATTTTTCTCGCCGTTAAAACCATCCTTGGACTGTAACAAACATTTAAATAGTAGAATTGGCCAAATTGGTCTAGGCGTTGTTGAGTTATGCGCTTACCAACAGATTTTGCGATTTATTTTTATATTATAGAATACGTATGTTTCCAATCATAATAAGACAGTTTTTCATATAAATTAAAAGAAAAAGGTTGTAATTTTTTCATGATATTGTTGTTGAACCTTATTTCAAGACAGTTTATCAAAATTATCATCATGCATATGAAAAAGTTGCGAAAATCGTAAACAATACAAATTGATAGAGTAGTAATACTAAAACCTCTTCTAAACATTAAATTTTGATGAAAATTAACATTAATTTATGGCGTTTTGGAGCTACTAATGTCCTTTAACAGCTTTATTTCAACATTTTTCGCTATTTTATGGCCATAAAATAAATATTCTATCTTCCTAGATAGATAAAATGTCATTTACCACTCGTAAAACACAAAAGAAGAAATTTATTTGTCAATAATTTCAATAAAAACACATTTTCTCTGCACTTGAATTTATAAATAAATATTTTACAACTCTAGTAGGTACCTATCCAATCCAATAATAAATTTATACTTAAAGTTGACTTTAACTTAGTATAGGTTAGTTTAATGATTGCTTTCTTTGAATGTGCTTTATGTTTGTTCTTAATTTCTTTCCTCCTCGCAGTTTTAATTCGTTTAATTGTTCGAAGGCGCGCCAGCCGTCCATTCTTTCGACTAGTTCGCTGGCTCGTTTTTTTTTTCTTCTTCCTCTGCTATGCAGTGTGTGAGCCTGCCACACGCAACGCAGGAGGCAGCCGGCGCAGTCTATAATGGTCACACGAACACACGCGCGGCCTAATGTAACCACACCTAACTAATTTTTCATTCAATTAGGACGTTGGGCGAGTTACTAGTGAATAGTGCACGATGCACACTGTACTATACTATGCCACACGCGCGATAGTTGCTACTATGTTGGAACTAACACAAAAGAGATAAAAATGAAAAGAGTAAAGAGCAAAGAATGGAATAGTTTGCCAAAGGGCCGTGCCCATAACTGCAGCTATCATTTATCAAGATCATACTATCATGTAGTAGTGTATTAGGTTATATGTTATAATATTAGGGAAGATAAAATGTGTTTTTTGTTTAAATTGAAAAAGAATTCACTTAATTTTTATTACTTTGGAGTGGAAAATTACATTTTTTTGACTTGGTAGATAAAAATATTTATTTTTTGTGTCGTAGGAAAGTGAAAAATGTTTAAATTTGACAATTTCGCTTGAATTTTCTTATTTTTTAGCTGTAAAATTATAATGTTGTTTAAAATGCTTATTAGGAAGGAATTTTCTAACATTTTAACCAATTTACTGGCTCAAAGGCACAGAAAATTAACGTGAAATAACCAAATACAGTAGAGTCCGTTTAGTATGACTCCGCCTATATTGACCAACCGGTTATTATGACGTAATTACACAGGAAGTTTGGTTTTCATATAATATTCTTTAGCATTTTACAAAACGCTTTGTATGACGTCCGCTTGTTATGACGTGTTTTTCAGTTCCCTTCGATGTCATTATAAACCATGGCTGGCCAATCCCAGGCCCGCGGGCCACGAGGTGGCCCGCCAGGACATTTGAATTTGCCCGCCGCACAAACCAAAGTTGGAACTTTTGTATATGTATAATATTTTATGTATGAATGGCCATAGTCTGTGGCCCGGTGCTGCCGCATTCTAAAAAAATTGGCCCTCCAGGAAAATCCATTGGCCCGCCTTGTTATAAACGGACTCTACTGTATATTATTTTCTTCAAAATTTGTGTTTTAAATAGATTTTCATGCATTTTCTTGACTTCATGATGAAAACTGTTTTATTATTAATAAAAATGTCCATATATTTATGATAAGAAAGATATTTTTGTTGAAATTGTTGGTTTAGTTGGTTTAAATCTACATTTTCCGTTGTAAACTCTTAGTTTTATTCTTAACACTACTTATGACATCAATGTTGATTTAACAAAGCTGTAAAACTGACGTTGGATAAGCGAAATGACATCAGTTTTGAGTTAATAGCTGTGATTACATAGTTTTTCCGAATTTTATTTTTCCCTTGAAAAATAAAACATAATAAAAACACATTATCTATTTTTGAGTAATAATATTTTATTACTTTTCATGTATTTTCATAAATACAGTTATTAATTAAATAATTAATTTAAGACGACATAAATTCTGTTATGTTATATATTGTATGTTATATTACGTTACGTTAGGAAATTTGTGCAGTATTTAAAGTTTACGGTTAGTTTAGTTTAGTTTAACGTGAAAAGCGTTCAACTGTTTAGTGTTTATACTTGTACATTTGCACCGTGTGTTTGTTAAGTTGGGTTGAGTTCAGTTGCATGTTTGCTGCTTGCTCTCTTTGTGGGCACGCGTTTAACGAGTCTAAGTGAGTCGCGTGGAAAATCGTCACGCGATTTAAACGCGAACTAATCATCCGTTAACTGGTTAAACGGGCTAACTACTCTGGTCTAGAACGCGCGGCATCTAGGCGAGAAAGAGATTCATCTGATAGAAATGGTTGCAGATACAGTAATAAGAAGAGATGTTGGATATAATTAATATTATTTGCTAGAGTCGTAGAAGTTTTATTAGAAAAGTAGAAAAAAGATTGTTTTTGTATGCATTTTTTTTACATTTGAGATTAGAACTTTAGACCTATTACTACTGCTAGTATAAAATATTTAGGGATGATTCCTACTTCAATTTCTGATCGATTTATGTGATATTCATTACTTTGTGATTATTTGTTTCTGAGAAATTCATTAAAATTGATGGAGAATTATGTGGAAAATTTGGAATCATGATACAGTTTTTTGCTTTTATGAGTCATTTATTCGTCCTAATTAAACAGAAATAGACACGTGTATCAAATTTGTCACAGGTGTACTAGAACTAATATTAAACATAATGACGCAGTAATTATTGGTCGTTAATTATTAGTTTTGTTTTAATTTTTTGCTAAATATCAGTTTTTCATCTTCCAGACATTTTTTTACATTTAAGGTTATATCTTCCAAGCTATCAATACCTCAAACATCAATTTTATGCACATTAAATTCAATTAAATTTCTAATTTAAAGATGTGTCATTTATTAATTTATCGGTATTACTTTTCGAGTAATTAGCTGTGAAACGTAAATAAAATATTAGATTAACACGTGAGAAAACATGTAATGAATAAATAGAGATAAAAATTGATTATTTGATGATAAATGATGGACAAAAATATACACATGTTTCTAGTTTATATCATAATATCATAAACAAATAAAATTTACTCCGGAAAACAATATACTTATCAAAATTAATATAAAAAAATAAATAAGTTTGGCCTAGAAATTAACACAGAACATGAATTTTTTTATATATTAGGTTATAACTCCCAAAATATTCATACGTCATGATTCATACTCCCTCAGAACAATATTCAATAAAATGCTTCATTTATTCATATATCACTCATCAACATACGATAATTATTTATCATAAAACTATCATAAAATGAATTACACGCGTGTAAACAAAAGTATGATTCGACGTGACAAGTTTTTATTTTATTTTATTATTATTAATAGTACTTAAATCGCTTGGTTAGTGATTAATTTTTGATTTACGGCGGTCATTACTGTATCTTTAATGAACTCATCATCAGCGCGAGCATCCTTCGTCGCTCCTTTAACCAATTTTCGCCTCGACCTCGGACTGTTTCCATTAGTAGTTAACTAGGTCTCAGCGAAATTGCTCGTCTAGTGGGCGGGGTGGCTGTGGGTGCTCCAGGTCTCGTATACTACCTTAAAGTCATCCTAGTTGAGTTTAGTTTATAAACCGCAATCTAACCTCCAACTTGTAGTTATTAATAAATAATTGTTTTTCACATTCCAGTCAAGTTTTTGCCTGGATTTTGTTTTTAGTAAGAATTTATTGGTTTAAAATGAATATTTTGTTGTTTAATGCGGGATTTATTGAGGAAAATGTGTAGAAATGGGTATAAAGTGACGAGGGCGACATCTATTTGGGTTTAAAATAGGTTATGCTGAGATTTAATAGGTTAAAATCGAAATAATCTGTTGGAACTTAAATTTTATGATTTTTTTGTGCAAATTTTGATGTATTTTGTTGTTTAACGTGGAATATATCGCGGATATGTAAGCAAAGTGGCGTTTTAACTTGTGGGCGACCTCTATTGATAGATATATAGTACTATTTTGCTTTAATATAGGTTATGTTGTGTTTTAACAGGTTAAAAAACCAAAATAATCCGTTGGAACTTAAATTTTACGGCTTTTTGGTGCAAATTTTGATGAATTTTGTTGTTTAACGTAGAATTTATTACCGAAATATTAACAAAGTAACTCTTTTTAACTTGTGGGCGACATCTATTGACAGATTTATGGCACTATTTTGGTTTAAACTAGATTATGTTGTGATTTTTCGAGGTTAAAACAAAAAAAAATGATAAAAATTAAATTATATGATATATTTTGCATTGTTTTCTATTTTAATATATTATACATGGCGTTGCAAACTATTATTAACTATATAAATATTCAATATTTCCTGTTATTAATAAATAATCATTTTTTGTTACAGATTTATCGACTGAAATCGAAGCACAATAAAACCTAAAAAATTAAAAATAAATAAAACGTATTAATAACTCGTGAAGTGACTCTAGTTGATAAAATGTGCGTTATCTTCGGTTTGAAATGATTAATTAACGATTGATAAACAAATGAACGTTTGTTGTCCGTTTTAATGCATAAATAACGCGCAGTTTACAGTATACATTCAGACACACAACGAATAAGCTCAACTCAATAAGTATCGTCGGATTATTCAAATTCAATACATATTTTCAATATATCTGTGGTAGATTTTTAATTAAGTAATTATTATATTAGTGACTGTAATGTCTAAGTTGCTAGTTGTGAATATGATGAGCTGTGATTCGAAAAGTTTTAAGTTAGAAGTTAAATAATAGACGACGCACAATTTTGTTGAGGAAAGAAGAAGAAGAAGAAGAGTTTTGCTGTGAATATGGAAGGTGGGAATACGCAGAAATTGCTGCGTGCACCGAATCTCAAACGAGGAAGGCAGGATGAACGGATTACAGACAGGGTGAGTAATTAAAATTGTTTATTTATTATTTAGTTTAGATATAAATAAGTATTTAGTGGTTATTTTTGGTTTTGAATGAATATTTTGTTGGTTAATGCGGAATTTAATTCGGGAATATTTGTCAAACGGTGTGTTTTAATATTGAACGGCATCTATTGATAGATTTATAGTACTTCCGTGCTTTCAAATAGGTTATGTTGTCGTTTAAGAGGTTAAAACCATCATAATCTATTGATACTTCGATTATTAGGTTATTTATGCAGATTTTTCACGTATTTCGTTGTTTAACGTGGAATTTAATGCGGTAATTTTAGTAAAATTATGTTTTTATGTGTGGACGGACATCTATTGATAGATATATAGTACTATTTCGGTTTAAAATGGGTTATGTTGTTCTTTATCAGATTAAAATCCATATAATCTGGAAATTTAGGTTATAAGACTAGATTATTCAATTTTTACTTTAAATAATTAAATATGGCTACAAATAACATTGTTTTCTTGAAATTCTAAATTTTTGTGAATTTCTTACTCTAATAAACAGCTTTTATGTTCATTTATACAAAACATCAGAACATATTACACCCAAGAAATAGAACTGAGTAAAATTTACGATATGGCTACTTTAACAGGTCTTTAATGAATTTTCACCTCTAAGTATATGCTAAACGTAGTTCACCACAGATAAATTGTCAAAAACTCTTTTAATTATACACATTTTAAGCCAATTAATAACTTTCCAGCTCAATTCGAAATACCAATTCAAAAACTTCAGTTTTTAATGTTTAATCTGACTTTAATCCAACATCACAAACTTTATGACAGCCTCACTCGAAATTCACTTTTCAAATTAATTAATATCACTTTTAGAGACATTTCTAACACGATTAGAACTTCGAAACACATTTTTACCACCTCGGCTATAAATTATTGATCCAAATTCAAGATTAATACAGTTACACTCTCACTTTCCAGCTTCTCAACTCTCTTATGACATTAAACTCTTTAAACTCAAACTTTTCTCGCAGTTAGAAGTTAGAAGAAGAGAAGTTGAAAGAAAAGAAGTTAAAAGAGATATTCAAATGTTAAACTTAAACGGATTGCACCTTCTTCTTCTTCTTCTTCTTCTTTCTTCTTGCTTCTGCGCATGCGCAATACACTTACATTCAACTATGCAGTTGTTGATTGACTATAGCATAAATGAAAGCGACTATCTAACGTGTTCCAACTTCTAATGTTTACCTTTACCTACCATCTACCTTCCAGCTTACATTTTCTTTCTTCTATCTATGGCTATGTGTATGTACCCGTATGTATGTGTGTTTTGCTCGTGCGTTTGCGTCGTTAATCTCCGCTGCGCCGCGGTTTATTAGTCGCGATCGAACCGCGCTGGCGTGAACAACGCCTCCTCGCTGATTATCAATTCCGTCACCTTCCATCGACACAATACATAATCAACATAATATATTAGTCGTGTGAGTTAATTATTTCCAATTCCACATGGCGATTTGTTGATGTTGTTGAGTGTGTCATTGGAGTGTCGATTGTTTTTCTACTTATTTGTATACGGTATTATTTTTTTTGTGTGTTTTTGTGTGTACGTGGACGGAATAAGCATAATATTAAATAATATAGGTATATTTTTAATATTTATGTGAGATGAGTGTGCGCATCACGCAAATGTCGGAATAAGTGCGATTAAGCAGTCGATAAGATGGATATGGATATCAGCGAGAGTGGAAATAAGGCAGGATTAATTGATGTAAGTGTTTTGGATGTTGAATGGGAAAAATAGGGTTATTGCGCAGACGCGGTAGCGTAAAAACGAAATAGTTTGCGTCGGGATTGAAATTGGGCGGTACAAGAGTTCAAAATCATTGGAATTCTACAAATTCTTGGTTTAAACTTTATTTTTGTGTCTATTAATGTTTAAAAGTAATTATTTTAAAGAATTAAATTAACATTAATCATTTTTTATATTTAAAATGTCAAAAAGTGCTATTTTAGTCCATTTGATGACAAAAGGTGTAAATTTAAAATTTAAAAGGGCGGAAACATTGCATACTTTATGAAATATAGGTTACTTTTGTAGGTTAAGTACGAAAATAAACACAGTATGCATAAACAACGATATTTGTTTAATAAGTATGGAGATAAAACGCAAAAACTTAACTGCTACCTATCTATGCTACCGTAATTCCAATGTTTTGGTGTTTTTCGTGGTGTTTTTAAAAACGTGTTTTTGAAGGTTAGAAAAATTATCACTTTGAATAAACTGCCACGCTTTGGAAACAAAAACAAATAGTAACAATTGGATGACGTGTCATCAAACAAGTTTTTATTATATTTTGTTTTATTTTTATGTCTTGTTTCTCGCTGATTTAGTATTCTGAATATAACATCATTGTTTAATTTGACTTTGAGGTATTGTCTAATTGTTTTAAGAGACTTTTTGTGAGTCATTCATTGTTTGAAATTCAAATTAGTGTAAATTTCGGTACAAACAAACTTTACTCGAAAAACAAGTTGGATTAGGCGATAAAGCACACGGTTTTAGTTTAGTTTTTCGTGAATTAATCGAAAACTATTTGTGATAATATGATAATTCCTTTAAAATTTGATTTAATATTACATTTCATATTTATTTATGTAAAAAAATTTATTGATTAATTATTGAGGATAAAGTTATAAACAATTAAAGTTGATTTTGTAACTTTTGAATAAAACATGTTATCAATAATATTTTTGGGAAATTTAATTAAAAATTTTGTAAACTTTACATTTCCGAAGAAATTGTTTCAGTAATATGTTTAGTTTTCGAGTAATCAGTCAATAACTGCACTTTTCACCCACACTTTGACATTATAATATTATGACGACTTCACGAATGTTTTCATAAATAATTCAGAAACCATTCACAATATAATAGTAATTCTTTTAAGAATCGATTTTGCATTAAATTCTACATCTTATTATGCAAATACTTTGTTAATCATTTGTCTGTTGGACAAAAAGTTATAAACAAAAGTAAAAGTCAAGTTTTTTTATTCAAAATGTTTGATTGTAAGCAGCCTGTAACTTTTGATATAAAGTTATTAACAATATTTTTGGTAAATATGATGCAAAATTTTACATACTATCATCTTAGAAAGATTAGTTTTGGCGTAATTCGCTAATAACGTGTCACCTATAGTTCTAATGTCGTTATGTTATGAATTATCAAATTCATCAAATTAGTTAAAGAATAATTCAAAAACCATTAGAGATAGAGTAGTATTTCGTTCATAGGTTTATTAACAATTAAATTCTCTATCATTTAATAAATTATTGTCATTTCTAACTTTTTTATAATAGAAGTTATAAACAATTAAAATTGTACTTTTGAAATTTTATTTTCTTTTAACTTTAAAACAAATTGCTCTGTATCACATGATAAAAAACTGTTATCAATAATTATTTCATACTATTACATGCAGAATTTAATACTGAAAATGCTCACAAAGAAATCATTCACATAACTTAATTAGTTTTCGCTTAGTTAACCAAAAACTAAAACATTTGCACTAGAATTATTTCTATTCTACACCATTCTAATTGAAATATCACCGACTTTAAGGAACAAAACAAAACAAAACAAAAAACTGTTTGAACAAGGCAATGACTAATTTTAGACCGGCACCTTTTACAGCTTAGCACAGCGCACCACAAAGAAAACAAGATAAGACACATGCGCAAAAAAAAACCTAATCAAAGCAAGCACTACCTACCTACTTATACCTCCTTATACTTATTTTGAGATCAAAGCAATAAAAAATGTAGGGAAATCAATCACTCAATATCAAGACCAAATCAAATCTCGCCTAATTCGGTATAAACTTGTTTTTAATAGACAGTAATAGACTCGAATCGACTATTATCCATAATGGATGTGTAGAGTGGAATAAAATTTCGATTAAGACTAAGGTGCGAATGCCAGGTGAGGTGTGAATGAAGTTTGCACGAAAGCAGGAAATCCATAAAAGACACGTCCTGTTCGCGCCGCTGTTTGGTATTCATGGCGTGCGGGCTGCGTTTACGCGTCAGCAGACAGGATAGAATTGGATAGGATAGTTATTCGTATGTCATTCACTCGTAACTTTCGATTGGAATGTTAAATGTTAATGTCAAGTTTGAATAAGAATAGAATATATAAATTATTCTAAGGAATTTTCAGAATATTTGTAGTAAATTGTTTAGTTTTTTGAGGATTACTCAAAGACCAATCAAGATTTATTTATAATTTGTTTATAAATATTTGCAGGGGTATATTTTTAGTAGAACTGTGAAAAAAGTTTGTTAATATCATTGTACTATCAAAAGTTACAGAGCAATTTGTATAAAAGTTATAATTTTTACTAAAATTTACTAGAATCAAATTTTTAATTGTTAATAACTTTTTGTGTAATGAAGTTATCAGCAAAATGTTTTTGCAGTTAGATGTAGAATGTAATATAGAATCTCTTACATCAAAAATTATTCTTTTAACAACTATAGTTTTTGTTTAATTTACAAAATTTTAATTTTAGCCTTCAAATATCTTGGTAAATAATTTAGTTGTTTATTAATTACTCAGAGGCTAATGAAGTTATATTGATAATTTAATCATAAATATTTATAGCAATAAATTATCTATATAGTCGTGAAATTATTTTGTTGATAACATTATTTAATCAGAAGTTATCGAGCAATTTGTATCAATTTAATTATTTTTTTTTTTGTAAAATTAAAGTTTAATTGTTAATAACTTTATTTATAATAATCTCATCAACAATTTCTCTTTGCATATTGATACACAATTTAATGTAAAATCTATTTCACTAATAATTATACTTTTAACATTAATAATATCCGCGTAATTAATTAAAAACTCTAACAAATAGTCCATTACTCGTATTTCGAACATTTTGTACTAATATGAGAAAATAGCATTAAAATTTTACCTCAAAATGTATACCGCAACA